ACCGTCTGTTCCGTCTTTCGAAAGTTAACACGTTGACTTCCACATGGAAAAATGCCGTACGTAAGGAGACGCACTTTATTTCGTTTTTCATAGTCGTAAATCGTTTAGTTAATATGTTATAAATGCGTTCAGTTAATACAGGCTGTTAGTCTTGTTTGAAATTATATTGCGATATTAATTGTACAGAAAATTGTCAACCTGTATTTAATCAATCCAGCCCTTCTTGCAATGTGCATATATTTAGGCGTCGTGACAGTCAAAGTGTTAAGGACGAATCGAACAGAATGTCTTTTTCGTTAACATCGTACTAATGAGTCATAGTGGGAGCTCTCAATTGGAAAACTGGTCAACTTTAAACCGTCAAAGACGAATGTTTTCCCTCCGGTCCGGTAAGGAAGTAACGAATACGGTTATCCTTTCATTCCCACGTTTCTTTCCTTTCTTTTCAGCATCGCTCGGACCTCGTTACTCGAGTGGTTCGGCGTATCCAGCACCGCCGCGAATTCCTTGATCCTCTCGCAAAGTGTTGGTAACGAGCCGCAACGGCGGCGGCAGCGGCACTGGCGGTTGCCAATTAGCGCACACGTTTCTCTTTTTAATAATGCAACGGCCTACATATGCGGCCTCCGCGCAGCAACGGCCGTAATTACGTGGAAACCGCCGGCCACTAATGCGTGCCGGCGCAAACACGTCCACGTCCATGACCACGGGAATCTATGCACGTCGCTCCTCCTATCGCCCGACTCGGTTTCAATGATTCCACCATTTCGCCCCCCTCCCCTTATTTCTGCTTCGATGAATGGACGTCTCTGAAACTGGACTGCATCCATGCATCGCTAACACCCATTTCCTGACCCTTTCAATGCTTACCTGTGCCGTTTTCGTGATTATATTCTCCGTGAAATCGAGTAATTCCTCGCGTAACAATGAATCGGAAACGTAGAGTGGAAATCCTTGCTATTCGAACATTTGTCCTTGAGAGAATCTATATTTGGTATTTTAGGAAATGAAGGATGCATGTGAACGTTCTAGTTCAGTTGAATGTATTTCCCTATTAGCACCTAATTCAATCCACGCGTCATGCTTCTTATATCTATTTGTGTAGTATCGTGTCACGGTCCCAGTTCCTGATCAGTTTAGTATATAAATACTATATAACAAGTTTACTATGATAAAAGATATTTCAAATAAATTACTATATCGAATCTATTACCGAATAATTCCAGCCTTTGCCGGGTCTATATTTTCCCCTGCTGTCAGGTGGGAGAAAAAAAGGTGGAAACAGGGAATTTTTAAGGGGCCAGTATATTCGTTAAACCGTAAAAAATCCAGGTCCCCAGAGTATCTACAGAATGTACGTGTGTATACGTGTCTGTTTTTTTTTCCTGTCGACCAGAGGGAAAGTCGGTCGGCAGTATTCCCCCGATACGTTTCAATTCTGACCGGAGTATCGGACCTGTCCGCCATAAAATTACGCGCATTGCAAGCATAGAAACTCGTGACCATGATTGGTTACATTCGACTACTTCCCCTGATTCGTCGTGGTTCATTTTCCTTCCCGTTCTTTCGTTTTAGGTCGCGCAACGCTTTTTTGATCTCACCGCCATCGGAACCAACCCGCGACGTCGATTGCATCTGTCACGGAAAGCGCGCCGTTCGGCGAAACGTCGATAAATTTCCGCGAACTCTTGACAGTCGAATTTATCCGCAGCGGTTCCTATGCATTCGAACGACACTTTGAACTCTCGAAAAGCTCCGCGGGTACTTGCGATAGCTCCCTCTTTCTCTCACGGCAACGTGACGTTTTTCCTGTTTGTTGGAAATCGTAATTCCGTGACTTCGACGTTCTTCTACGAGGGACCTCGTGTGAAACGGTGTGTACACGTCACGATATTTTTCACTCCATGGACGGGAGAGAAGACTTCTGATTTCTCGGGAGATTCGAAACGGTATCTGTAAACTAGAGACGAGTTGTTATGGTGCTGTTAACACTTTGACACAGTGAAATAGGCCGTACGTAGCCGGACAGATTTTATTTCGCTTTTTAAGTCACAGATCGTCCAAAAATTATCAAAGGAATATTTTGTTGCATTGTTGTGGAATATTAAATGATATATAAATTATTCGCAAGTTCATTTTAATGTTTTGGAATCGTTTAGTGCCATTTTTCATTCGTTGCCAGATAATTATATGTCATCTCTCTTTTCTTCTCACAGAAGCATAAAGATAAAGAATGACTGTATTGATTAAGTTTTAGCCTTACCATTAATCCCTCGTGAAGTTTCTATGATTAGTAATCAACGATTTCCACCTGTTCCAGAATGTATGGCACATTTTCATCTGAAAAAATGCATATTCTACACCGTGGGTGGAAGTTATTTATGGCTCGATAAAATGTTTTTAGCAAGGGCCATAACTCTTTCAGACATGTAATATTTCTTGAATTTAAGGAATAAGTTCATCTTGAAATATTATCTGTTATCTATTGAATTAATTTTCGTATCTTTATTTTGCATGGGAACACACGGAACGATTACAGACTGATTTGAATAAGGGATTTCCTCGCAGAATGTACATATAGATCGCATATGCTTCCTCGTGGTTTGTCTTGCACACCTGTTTGAGAAATATGAATGAGCCCCGTTGTTCCCTGGGAACACGGACATCTGACCGCGAACGATACGGTCGATCGTATCTTCCCTTGGAAAATGGCCATGCATAGTTTCGCGAGTCATTTCAAGCGACGCGCCGGAACAACCGCCCTTTATTCCTCCCCTGTTATTTTCGAACGTGAAACGTTAGCCCTTGAGAAGGCGTTCTCCTCCCATCTTCCGTGAACGTCGATCAAGGCCCTTCGATTTGTCTTCCTTTTATTTAAATGGAAGGAGCGGCGTACAATTTTTCAGGATGGTTGCCGGGCCATTGATCATTATTCAATCGATCTTATTGGTAATTTTATTGGTCTCACTTTACGTAGAATTCTACTAGACATTCAATTAATTACAATAATTTCATCGAAGTGCTGCTGAACTTTTCTCGATTTTTTAATTTCTTATTACGTTGCGATCGATGTAACTAGGTTCGAATAGATTTTCTCTTATTTTCAGACGCTACATGTATTTATTACGTTTGCTTTGTATTGTACGAAATGAAAAGATCTTTTGTCGTAGCCACACTTTGTGAATAACAAGTTCGTGACGAATATTTATTCGGTATTTCACGAGAATGTTCCGTTTGAATACCAGTGTCGCGTCCCCATGTCAGCTGTCTTGAATGAATCGGCTTTCCACTTTCAGTGGAATAAGGCGTCACGGTCAGACATCTCGTTCTAGACCCACGTCAGGTGGTCGTGGCGTTTGTGCTCAGCTATATTGTAATTTATACACGACGATCTAGTGTTACTGATCATTTTATTAAAATTTTTCTATAATGAGATTTCAAGATCGATTCACTCTACTCGGAGAGTTCAGTTTCTCTTACAATTTTTCGCTCGAATACACAGCAGTAAAATAATTTAAGCTGATCATGTTTCGTGGCCCACCCTGTATAGTAGATTATTATAATATTATAAATTCTGAAAGTGAAGTCCGATTAAGCCCAACCAGAGGAGTACTTTTAACAAAAAGCACACACGAGAAAGGCCGATGAGGAATCGCGAGATACGCGAACCTCGGATATAATTCACCCGCGAAGAATTTATGAAACTCCACGAAGTGAATTCGCGGAGGTACAAACTCTCGGGGAGGAATGTCGTCGAAAGCATACTACGACGAAGACGACCGCGTTTCGGTACACGTGGAGTCGTAGAAAAGTTTTATCGCGCGTTTGCGACAGGAAGAAGAAACGCGCTCGTAATCTTGCCGGGGTGTCGTGAATTTTCCTTTGCCGTTTTCCTCCCTTTTTTTCTTTCTTTTCATTTCGTTTAACGCGCCCTTCCCTCCTCCCACCTCGGAGAAATTAAAAGTATTTCCGTTCGAATGGCACTCCCCTCCTTTCTTCTTCGTCTTTCTTCTCTTTCCTTGCGCGGTCTCCCGTTAACTTTCATACTTCTCCCGCTGTCTTCTCCGTGTTTCGCGCGCGGCGACGCGAAAATTTACGATGCAAATTATCGTATAAATCGCGGCGCGGTGATTCATCGCGGGCACTCGCGGCCGTAAAACAGCTATGAAATTATGCAAACCACGCTGTCGGAGGCTGTACAGGATTTTTCAATTAAAGCGGACCTGTCGGGGGACGATTCGAATCGGCGAGCGAGAAAGAATTCGCTAGAACATGGTGGTTGTTTGTGGCATTCCGGCGGAAATCTTTGTTTTTGTACTTAATGAATATACAGTTTCATGATTTTATAAATTATATCGATAGTCTGTACTGTATTGCAAAGTGTAAGATTTAACTGGTGATCAGAATAGTTTTAACGGAATTGAAGGTTCTTAAATCTGTTCTGAGCAATATTTAAATAACGAATAGACGTGTAATCAGAACTTAAAACAATGTATACAGTGATTCAGAGGTTATTGTACGTAGGATGAAATGGATTGAAGTGTAAGTGAAAGCGGGCCGTCAGTGGCCAGACACGTCGTGACCGAGACAGGAACGTCATCCATCAGCATTTTGACACGCATGTCACTTTCACTATTATTTCAAGCGATATATCTCCTGATAATTTAAATCTTTAATATTTTCTACTAATTTACCAACAATTCCATGGTATTATTAAAATACACATAAGGGGTGCAAATAGTGTTATTCTTGAAATTATTTCAAGCAATATTTCGCCTGCTAATTCCAAGCTTCAACGCGTGATACTGATTTTCCAACAATTCAGTATTATTAGCGATATATACCGGAGTTGTGAAACAATTCAGGAAGGAATCTAGGGGGTACAAATTAGGGATCTAGGGGGAAGTTTTTATAGCGATTGGAGCAGCAAATAGAGTTATCTGTACCTTGTCCCACATACAGTAATCATACTAACAATATGAATTTCGTGTCTGTTTCAGGTACGGTGACATGGTTCCGAAAACGATCGCGGGAAAAATCGTGGGGGGTGTATGCTCCCTTAGCGGTGTCCTTGTGATCGCTTTACCGGTGCCTGTTATCGTCAGTAATTTCAGTCGAATATACCACCAGAATCAGCGGGCGGACAAGCGAAAGGCGCAGAGGGTGAGCAAACTGTTTCTTTTTCACTTCCTTATAGAGGGCAATCTGTGGCCTGGATCCGCGTTGTAGGGATCACGATCGTTCAGCATTCGCGGCGAACTGTTCATATTTTTTTATCTATAATCGGGGAGATGCTTTCGTGTTATCGTGAACGTGCAATTTTTCCAGACAGTTATTAGGTGTAAAAATTAATTCGTGGCCCTTACAATTAATTATTGACTCAAAACCGTCATCATGTTTTTGAAAGGGAATTCGCCAACAGCTCGAGAAATGGCGTAAATGTGCAAAGTGACAAGAAATATGTTCAAGACTAGATTGTATTTTTTTTTTTTTGGAAATAAATACCAAATCTATGAAAGGAAGGCCACGAAAAAGTTGTAGAAAATGTTCTAAACCTGCTGGGTGTACAAGTTGTCGGAAAAGTGTGCGGCCGCCAGTTTTCTGACAGGTTTCTATAGGCATCTTGCAAAATATTTTCGACAGTTTCATCGCGTACACACATACACGCATATACATGGCTCATCTATCCACAAATAACAGTGTCACTATTCGCGCCATGGGCTGTTCACTTTATTCTGGTAGAGTGGATATGGATATTGTTGGATGTTGTCTTTGGAAGCGGGTTGCTCGGCCCCAAGGCCATGCCGCGGGAAACTTTCGAGGTGGCGCGGGGAATTTTCCTTTTTTCTCGCAAAAAGACTCGACACCTCTCTTTAATTTTGCTTTCTCTTTAAAAATTATCCGAGGATTTGATCTTGTAAAGCAAGGGCATCTTTTCATGACGAATAAACTGAATATAAACATTAAAAGGGTTACAGCTTTCTCGAGCTTCGTCTTCGTCTTTACCCATTCTCCCGATTTAGCGCTTGTCGGACACAGAGGTGGGACCACGTAAATAAAATTCACGGCGATTTATTATCGTCGCCTCTCGTCGCAATATTCCTCCAGGTTGCACTGGTGCGACTTGTTGTTTTCTATTTTCACGTTCCAGGGAGCCTCTTTTAGAATCGAACCAGGTGAGGGGTCGTGATCGCTGTTCCATCTTCGAGGAATCGATGCACAAGCGTCGTTTCCTATTTACTCCGAGAAACAGAGGTGTCGGGCTTCTCCTGAATCTAAAAAAAAAGAAAAAAATCGAAAAGAAAAACACACGCGATCGTCGAACGGAGCCGGTCCGGCGTCGGAATTATTCTCGGTGGTTCCGCAGGGTTATTTTTAATCGTGGGTGGACGGGACGGCATTTTATTAGCCAGGATCAAAGCGTCTACCGTCGAGTGGCCCCGGCTATCGTGAACTCTAATGACGTGCACGATTCCCGGTTGCTCGGCGAGAGGTCTTTAAACGTAGTGAATCACAGTCGATTCGCTAAACTGGTCAATTCGATCGCGAGGCGCCCATTAAACCACCGAGGCCGAGCACGTACCCGCCTTCGGCTCCTCTCGAACGCTTCCACATTTCCCCTCCAATTTGCTGGTGGAAGGAATACGACCTTTGCCGTGTGTGTTTTAGTCCCTCTTTTACATTCCCTGTAATCACAATCGAATCCAAGTTACTCGAGATCGATATTGAGTTAGATTAGGTTTGTACGTGATGATTTCTTTTCCGTGCGACTAACTAAACTTGTGTGACTCGTGAATTCGAAAGTTTCGACCGTCACTCTGTCTAATCGTGTTGAAGAAAAAATTATCAGAACCCATTCTCAGAGTTTCTACATATAATGATTGTGAACGGTGTATATCTCTTAAACACGTTGACTGCCACTGTGAAAACGACCGTACGTAACCAGACATACTTTGCTTCGTGTGTCAAGTCATAAATCGTCGAAAATATATGCGTTTAGTTAAAGAGGCTGTTGGTCCTGTTTTGAAGTTATACTACGATATTAAATAGTACGCAAAAATTGTCAAGACAGTTACTTTAATATAACGTTCATACAAAATTATATAGTAGTTTGCCTTAAAATCCTGATTTTTCAGTTATGTCGTTTTCACAGCAGATGAACGGTATCACTATATTTCGATCTCCAAACAAAACGTACTTTCGAGCCATAAAGCTCAGACCAGCGTGTCCAGCGAACACGAAGGTGCTCTTTGTTCACGATTAAAGTACAGTGTCTCCGATTCCGTTGTCCCTAAAGGTGTGTCCCGGGTCGGCGAGGGCACCCTCTGTTCCCCTTTGCGTGCAACACTTGATGTAGGTGTATTCGAAACTCGTCCCTCGAAAGTCGAGCCGCCCAGACGTGGCGCAATTGCGAAAACGGCTCCAGCGTAGCGTTCGGTGTCTTTTGCGTCCGAGAGACCGGTTCTCGAAGCTCTAGCACGAATTTTCTTTGGCTGACGGCCAGCGGCTACCCTCAGTTCATTACCACTATCCCGTGCACAACGAGAGAGAGAGAAGGAGAGACTGGGACAGCTGGCCGAATAAAGTGGCTAGAGAGAGCAGTATGATCGTGGTCAGGAGCCTTCTGACCTCGCGAACTCTGATTCATAGCGGTTGTTTCTTCGAGATCTAGCATGAAACGGGCACAGGTTGCCTGGAACGTGAAACATATTCCCCCAATAGTAACGTGAATATCTTGGACAGTTGGTCCTGTGTGTGTTTGGGTTTCTTTTTTTGTGGTGATTCTTGCGACGAACGTTTTTCCTTCTAGTTTTGTTGGTTTTCGATTCTGACAGCTCGTTTTGGTAAGTGGAATCGTAGGATCTATGGAGGCTTTGTGGACATAGGTCGAATGAAACGGGAATAACCACGGGTTGTGTAAATTGGGCGGGAGTTTCGCCGAGTCGGAGATCGGTGTAGAAGTTCTTGCAAATTAGAAGGCGTCCGAAGACGGGCTTTGACGGCGATTCTGCAGCTCGGAAATCGGAGTTCGCTTTCTTTCTCTTTTTGGTGAAATCTGCAATGCAGATAGATCGTATCTACATATATTCATGGTCCAGGATCTTACTGATCTGTGGTTTCGGACACCGACGTGTCCTCTTTTGTTCTGTTGTAGTCCTTTGAAATCGTTTTGTCGAAGGTTCGTTTCGTTTCTGGAAAAGCGTCGATATATCGTGCGTGGTAAGGAAATAGAAAAGGAATTTTGTATTTAATATGGCTGTGGTACTCTTATTAATACTTTGATGTTGGATGACGTAGAAGTACGTCTTTTCAAAAGCAGAAGCTGAAAGCGTTTGACGTAGTAACACGTTTTTCTTAAATAAGAAGTAAAATAGTAAAAACAGGGGAAAAATCGTTTTTTCTATATGTAAAATTTGACAAATAACAGTTAAGTAGTAGTTTCTAAATATTTTTAGAACACCTAAGGTTGTGTATTTGCAAACACAACAACCTTCTTGTTAGCAAAGTGTCAATTCGCGTTGTTAGTGCAACAGTGTATACATATAGAAGCTTGAAATATCTTACATAAGAGTCATTAGGGACATTGTATGATAATTAACATTGAAGTTGGAATACTTTAGAGCGTTACTATGGATCGATTGTCTGACTTGTGAATGCCGAATTCACTTAAAATTCTTTGCACAATATTTTTGTATGATTAACGAATAATGTAGAGATTATTTGGCGTAGCGTTAGGTTTGCAGTGCTATAGAGTGGTGTTATAGATCGGTTCTGTGACCTGTAATGGCTGGTATTTACTTGAAACTCGTCGAGTGAAATGTCTGCGAACTGTTTGTCCGACCTGTCACGGTTCAATCTTCTTCCGACATTCCGCATGAAATTTCGATCGAAATACAGCTAATTGGGAGAACCGTTTCATCTATTCTCGATGGAATATTTCGGATAAATATGACCTCGTTGTCTGGATTGAAACGACTTAATCTACTTCGTGCACTTGACCCAATTTCCTTCGTAATTCAATATAATTGAACATGTTCTAGACATGAATTGTTCCATCTAATTACAGCAAAAATCAGCTCTATGATTTCCAAGGAATCGACAACTTATCACTTCCGTTTTCGACTTGGATTTCCATAGACGACAGTTTTCACGTCTTGTCTAGACTGTAACGTCTGAATCTACTCGAGCTGAACAGTTCCACAGACTACTGAAAGAACGCCGAGAATCGATTAAAGGTAATCGAAGCTAATTAATGCGAAAGCGTCGGAACTCGCGAAGGAAGCGTGTCGTGTCGTGGAGCCGGCTTATCGCGGAAACGTCGCGGACGTGGATGGAAATGCAAACGAAACGTTGGACGGTAGCGGCTGTACGCAAATAAATAGAATTCAAAGCGAAACACGTCGAAGTCAGCCACGCAGTCGCTGCCGAAGGAGGCTCTCCCCGGTTTTTGCTTCCGATCCCGTTCCCCCGAGGATCGATTCTACACGAGCCAACCCAAGATCAGCCGGGCTAATGGTAAACAAATATTTGAGAGGGAGCTTCCGTAAGTAAACCGTCCACCTTCCCCGCGAACTTCTCGTCGTGAAACAAACTCTGGATTTTCTGTCGGAACTTCGACCGAGCGGACCGCCGCGTCAGCGTATAAATCTTGGCTGCTCGAAAAACCACGGCCGCTCTGTTACTTTTTATCCGCTCGATGGACTCTAAATTCGCTTCTCGAGACCAGAAACTCGTTGGGTGATCTGTGGCCGGAAAAAGAAGTCGATGGGAAGGGGTGAGAGAGAGAAAGGACTTGCTTTGAACTGGTAAACGTATCATTATACAAGAAAATGAAATAACAATAATGATAGAGCTTTCATGGCGTTGGATACAATGATGAGTGTGCAAGGTCTATTATTATTATTATTATTATTATTATTATTATTATTATTATATAGGTATATTTAACGAACAAAAATGAAAACTGAAAACTTAACACTTTAAATGATAATTTAGGGACCTTTTTTTAAGAAAATTTGTTGTTTTTATTTAACAAATATAAGAACATAGGTTAGGTTAGGTTAGGTTATACTTTTATTGAATACACTCTTTAATACACAGTTTGTGTATACTTTGACTAAATCAGAAATGTAAATGTATACATTTACTAGTAAAAGTATATA